CTGATGGCTATTGGGAGAACTGTGTGAGGTCCTGAGGTGCCTACTTTGAAGGGGACTAAGGCATCATTGTCCTATGTACAATGTTTCTTGTATCTTCTTCAAGAAATGTCTCTATTTTTTTCATATTATATGTCTGGATACCTTCTAGACAGACCTGTATACCCAGAAGTAAGATTGCTGTATCCTCTGGTAATTGTATTTTTAATTTTTTGAGGAACCTTCATAATGTTTTTCTGCTTTTTAAAAGATTTTATTTATTTATTTTTAGAGAGAGGGGAGGGGAGGGAGAAAGAGAAGGAGAGAAATATTAATGTTTGGTTGCCTCTCCAGCACCCTCTACTGGGGACCTGGCCTGCAACCCTGTCATGTGCCCTGATTGGGACTTGAACTGGCAACCCTTTGGTTCACAGGCTGGGGCTTAATCCACTGAGCCACACCAGCCAGGGCCATAATATGTTTCATAGTGGTTGCACCATTTTTCATTCCCACCAAATAGTTCATAAGGGTTCTCTAAATCTTTACCAATACTTGTTATCTCTTGGCTTTTTAATAGTGGCCATTCTAACAGATGTGAGCTGATATCTCATTGTGGTTTTGATTTGCATTTCCCTGATGATTAGTGATGTTGAGCATGTTTTCATGTACCTGTTGTATGTCTTCTTTGGTCATTGTCTTTAGAGATAAGTGTATGAAGTCTGTTTGGAAAAAGTCCAGCCATTGTGAATATAACAAGAATGGTTTGGGCAATATCAATGTAACCTGGCATCCAAGGAGAGTGGATTGGAATGTGCATGCATGAATAATGATGACTTCACTGTACTAGTTATTGTACTAGTCAGTGGTAGATGCCGCTGGGTGAGCTTGTGTACTGTATGGCCATTACATTCAAAATGACTGAGCAAATAGAACAATAAATCTGCATTGAATTTGTTAAGCTTGAATATTCCTCCATGGGAATTATTCAGATGATTCAGAAGGCTTTTGGGGCGGATGCAGTGAGTGCAGCACAAATAAAAGTGTGGCACAGACGCTTCAAAGATGGTCAAGAATCTGTTGAAAGTGATCCACGTTCTGGAAGGGCTGCAACAAGCAGAACACCTGAGAATGTGCAGTGTGTATGGTCTGCAATCAACAAAGATTGGAGACTGACGATACAAGACCCAGAAGCTGATCTGGAGATTTCAAAAACTACTGTGTCTGAGATTTTGACATAGGATCTTGGCATGAAAAGTGTCATGGCAAAATTCACTCCATGGCTTCTGCTACCAGAGCAGAAGGAACATTGTGCTGTAATTGCTAATGACTTGATTCAAACTGCTACCAATGAACCAAATTTCCCCCAAAAGGTCATAACTTTGAAAAGGACTGAGGCATCATTGTCCTATGTACATGTATTTTTTATCTTGTATCTTCTTCAGTGATTGTCTTGGTTTTTCATATTACATGGCTGTATACTGTCTGGTCAGACCTTGTGTTCTTACTGTATTTTTTATGTTTTAAAAAGTTTTATTTGTTTTATTTTAGAGTGAAGGGAAGGGAGGGAGAAAGAGAGGGATGGAAACATCGGTCCCTAGGCCCACAACCCAGGCATGTTTCCTGACCGGGAATCATACCGGTGACCTTTCACTTTGTGGGACAGCACCCAACCAACTGAGCCACACCGGGCAGGGTGGTATTCTGCTTTAAACATCATAGCTAGTGGATTGTTTAGGGGCTGCCCTCAGGGGTTAGATTGCCTGGATTTTGCATTTTGGCTGGAATCATCCGTCTTTTCATAAATGTAATTACTTTTCCAACCTAGCCTTCTCTTTGACAGGATCAAGGAGTCTTCATTAAAACTAATAACCACAATTATTAAAGTAAATCAGTCCCTCAAAGAGAATTTGTAAAGAAAACCAATATGTACATAAAATAGGGTCTTTTATTAATCCTTGAGAACTGTTAATCACTGTGTTATATGAAAGCCTGACTTTATCCTCAGGCTTTGTTAGAAAGCCTGTTTCAGCTTCTCAGAACTCCTCTCAGGGTCAGACCCCTATGGGACGGCACGCAACGCTTCACCCCTCAGCTTGCTCTTTCGGCCCTTTGGTCTCAGTTTTCTGTCCACTTAAAGCAAAACACCCCTGTAGTGTTTCATAGCTGCATTTTACGGAACCACTAGATAAGAAATTATTCTGGTGGCTGACTTCGCTCAGTTTTATGCTGCAATAATCAGTAAGAGATTTCATAGCATTCTAGAATTCCAGACTCTCTTGTTTTAAGTAGCCTTAGAGATTCAAGTCTGATTTTGAGAGCTGAGAGAACTCTTCGTTGTTGTTGTTCCTGATGTGGAGAGACCATGGTTTGAATGGTTCTTCTGGAATCCATGTCCTCTCTTTACAAAATACAGAAAGAATTTTCCCGTTTCACCAAACTCCAAGCACGCCCACACCCCACCCCACGTGCACAGCACGTTTGCGGTCTTGTTCGTGTTAAAGTTTGAGGATGAGCAGCCCCTCTGTAACCTCCATCTCGGTGGCTGGCTCTGGTGGAAGAATGAGGTGTACAAAAGCTGCTTTGTTCAGGTTGGAAGTACTCCTAAGTTCAGGACTTTATCAAGAACAACTCAGTTTAGCTCACATCTAAACAGAGAATTTGAGTTGGCTTTAAAACAAAAATGTAAAGTGCTCTCATGTGCAATAATATGCAACATTATAGTCCTTTATACTATATCTGATTTTCCCCTTTGTTTCTTGAATTTGTAAGAAAAAATTTTGACTTAACCTTGAAAATACTAGTTTCTAGAACCTATCTAGAAACAAAACTAGAATGGTATTTTTCCTCCAATTTGGCTTTATAGGTTCTGTAACTTAAAAAAAGAAAAGAAAAAGAAAAGAGCCCTGGCTGGTGTGGCTTACTTGGTAGGAGTGTTGTGGGTATGTGCCCTGACCAGGCTGTGAACTTGAACCTGGTCAGAGGACATACCCAGGTTGTGGGTTCAATCCCCGGTTGGGGCGTGTATGAGAAGGCTGCTGATCACTGTTTCTCTCTCACATCGATGTTTCTCTCCCCATCTTCCTCTCTCCCTTTTACTTTTTCTAAAAGCAATGAAAAAAATTGTCTTCAGGTAAGGATAAAAAGAAAAAACAAGAAAGAAGGAAAATGATAGATTCCTATATATCCTTTGTATGTGCAACATTCCTAGGAATGTGCTGCCCTTGTTACTGAACATGACCATCGTGTGCCTTGTATATTGAAAATAGGCAGCTCTTGGTAGCACAATGCCAACAGTGACTTTAGGTAGTCTACCTATGTAGATATTTACTGCAACTTGATGATACTGATTTACATTCCATTGGGGAACTCTCTGCAGGTGAACCAAGATCCAGGAATAAATGCTTTGGAGAGAAAATCCCAGCACGAGCTGTAGGCTTGATCACTGAGCGGGGCTGGCTCAAGTGGTGGTTTCTATCATGATGTCAGATTGCTACTGGCTACTGAAGAGAAAAAGGAAGTAGCATTTTTTCTGAAATAGGCTATTTGGGAACAACACAAGCTCCCTCCTAGGGTTTCCATAGCCTGGTCAGTGAGCAGGGGGATATCTTCAGAACTGCCACTGGACAAGAGGGAGGGCTGGTGGGCGAAGAGCCCTGTGCTGAACAGAACTGAACTGGTCTGTATTTTCAGTAAGAATCCCCAGAGTGTACGATGTAAGCTTATTCTTTTCATGAGGAGGGATTCATCTGTTTCGCCAGGCCTGGGATCAGTTTCTGTACATCTGATCAAATCAGCACTTAGATACCTGAGTGACCAAATTAAATAAATAGCACGTCTGATTTAATAAGCTGAGACATCCAAAGGAGAGAGCTGCCCCGTCTAAGTTTTCTCCGGGAGGCTGTTACTTCTTCCAGCAATGCTGCTGCTGTTCTCAATGTTTTTAGCATTTTTCTTTCAACTATACAGTTAGAGTTGACCACATAGGCTGTTCTCCTGTTGAAAGATCTTTATCTTTAGAAAGATGAAGTAGCTAGCTAAATATTTAGAAATAGCCAAAAGTCATTCTGAATTCTGCTTGACAGGTTAGTGTAGGTGAGTGATCTGGAAGACAGTTTTGTTTAGGGTTAAAAATGAGATCTGATGTTTTCACATGGTGTATCTTCTAGTTCTTAAAGCAGGTTATAAACATGATATTTCAAAACTGTTTTGAATAAGAGAAGTGTAGTTGAAATGAGTACATTATTATTTCTGGATATGGCTGCTCTGATGGTACACTTAGTCAAATTTATACATTCTGGTTATATATTTTGTAGTCTTATTATTCTCTGATTTCAAGACTGTTTCAAAATACCATGAATCACCATGTGAGAGTTCAGTGCAAATGAAACTGTTCAGAAAGAGAAAGAGCTACTAGGTAGGGCAGAATATGGGGAGAATTGTGTTAGAGTTGCTTTGCAAGTTAACCTTATACAAGGCTCCCAGTTTTTCCTTTTGTAAAAAGGGAATAATAATAATAATCAGGGCACACTATCCACATTATAGGATCATTGTGAGGTGTTTTCAAGAAGTAGTTTACTGCATGTGAAGCACACATCATAATGCCTTGTGTATAATGGTGTTGAATAAACGTTAGCCGTTTTTATCATGCTGTTGTGACACGTCGGTGTGCCTGGAAGAGAGGAAGAGAAAAAGCAGGTAGTAGAACAGGCCTGGCCCGTCTCTGGTTTCCACAGTTCTCCCAACCAAACCTGTTTTAGTCATACTCATAAATATATGTCACGAATGGCATGAGCCATATTTTAATTTTCAGCTGTCCCAAAAAATCCTAGTTATTTATTGAGATTCTGATTGTATTCTTTAAAAAAATGACAAACCTCAGTATTCCCCAAAATAGGATGTTGAGATGTGTGAGGATTTCGCTACCAGTTTGTAAAAACTAAGTGTATCCTGTTTCCAGCTGACGTGGTTTTTGTGCATTAGAAAATGCAAATCTTATTACTTACATTATGTTGCTTTTTAAACAGATGAAGATGAAGATGGTGATCGAATTACAGTGAGAAGTGATGAAGAAATGAAGGCAATGCTGTCATATGTAAGTATATTACAAATGAGGACTATCTTAAAAATGTTACTGTAATCTAGGATGCTGTTTCTTGGCAGAGTGAAGATATAAAAGTAAATCACAGTTGCCTTAACATTTTTCTATATAGTGTATAAGGCTTTCAAAGATTTCCTTATGTGAAAGTGAAGGGCATTCTTTCCAAAAGACACTTACTGATCATATCATGAACATTAAGAATAATGCATCTTAATGACTGTTGCATTAGGTATGGTGCAGACTAAATGGGCTATCAATTTCCTGTATTTTTTATGCAGTACTTAAAGTAACGGCTCATTAAAAATGAACCCCTGGGCTCTAAAAAATTTTTCAAAATCTACTTTCAACTGGAGATCTCTTTCACCCTTCCAAACAGACTATAGTTATTATGTAGCTGCGGGCTTAATATGGATGCACGATTTAAAGATGTACTCTCAGTTATTTTACCACCCCCCTGCACCCATACCAAGTTGAACTACTGTGGGGTTACTTACTGAATCAAAGTGATTTAAATATATCCTGAAATGACTTTTCTTTTGTGTTTTGGATTTCAATGAAAATTTGCATTAATGTTTCAGGACTAAAGTAGATAAACAAGAAAAAAGACTACATTTCTAAAACTTTAATACTAAGTTTGAAAAATTCAACTATAATGAAGAGACATACAGCTTCCCTGAGCCCTGATTTACTCTTTCCTCCTTTTGTTTTATTCCCCCTTGTTTTATTTTATCTGAGTTTGCCATGCATTTACAAAACCTTTCCACTGGCCTGGTGGAGACAGCAGTGGACTGGAAGTCAGGAGACCACTGCTCTCTTCTGGCGTCCTGGCCTTAGGCAAATCATTTAACCTTTCTGTGCTGTAGTTGCCTCATCTGTCAATTGTGGATAATAATACTTGTCCTCTCTGTGGCACAGGGTCATTGTAATGATCAAATGGGGGAATAGTCTTGAAAGCCCTTTGCAAACACAAACGTTCTATACAAATGCAAAGTGGTATTATGGTGGAAATGATGGACTTGGGGCCCTTGCTTTTCAGCGAGACTCTAATCTTAGCCAACAGTTAGGCTGTAGGTTTTTGATAGACTTCAACTTCAACCTAAGGTGTTGTTTCATCGTAATGAAAACTATAAAATATCTGTGTGGGTTTCCGCCAATAGTTTTAATTTAGGGTAGGAGGAAAGAGAACAAGAAGAATGGCATGATTAACAGAGCGTTGCATTTAGAGCTGCACAGAGTAGGAAAAGTCAATTTCCCATTGACTTCCCATTAACTTCTTTGAGAGTCCTTGTGCTTTGAGAATTTAGACCAGGGCTCATCGGCACCTTGAAAGGCAGAGTAGGATGGTCTACTGAAAGGGCTAGTGCTGGTATTGATTGCTCACTCTCCTGAGAATGTGACATGCTTATTTTTAGAAAACACACACACATAGACGGGTTCTAGTTTTTTCATATACATCCATTGCAGAGTGCATTACTGACATCGGTGTTCTTTCATCATGTCTGAGCTCCACTGAACACACTTGTGTTTTAAATAATCTACTTTGGGGAAGATCTGGCAAATCGTGCCTTTTAAAGAATGTTGCTGCATGTGATCATAATGATAATGATAGTCATTTCTATTTTTTTAGTTGCCTGGTCTGTATTCTAGATGCTTATGGTTTTTAATTTCATTGGTTTTAATAATCACTCCGTGAGGTAGATATTATCATTCCTGTTTTTTAGATGAGGAAGCTGTGGTTAACAGACATGCTGAAGGTCGTATACTAATGAATTTGAATGTGGAATTTAAGTTCAGTTTCTCCTTATGCCAAAGCCCATGATCCTTTACTGTTTTACACTGTTTCTCTCCTGGCCACCCCTTGTACATTAGTATTGGGATCTTTCTGTGTTACCACCACTATTAAATGCTGAGTGATTCGTGTTTATGTAACACCTTATATAGCTATCATATGTATTCCTTATGATTTGTGCTTATTTTCTCAAATGTAGTGCTTATTTTGGTGTTGTAAGAAAATATTACAGTTATGTAGTTATCTTTAAACTTAAAAGTTTCTCAGCTTTCTTGAGAATCTGAACAGAAATCATCTAGCTCATTGATCCAGCTATTTGGATTTCATGAACTAATCAATTTTTCATTTTCAGGTTGGAGGATAGACATAGGCCTGGTAATGTTTAATTTTGCTAAATAAAAACATTAATACATAAACTAATAAAATTATCTACTGTTAACCATTATATTGTTAATAAAGAAAAAAGTGTGAGTTATTTGAAGATTAAAACATTGGGCATTACATAATCTCAAAAGATGACCATTAAAGTGAGTAAATTTAGTTTTACTGTGAAAACACAATGCACTATTCTTTGTGTTAATTTGCTATGGATGGTGAAACTTTTTTAAGGACTTGGTAGTGGTCAGTGGACTGTGGTCAGGCTGATTGGGCTCAGATTTTCTCATGCATTCACTTAACAGATGTTTAGAGATGGAACCTGAGGCACCCAAAGAATTTTAACTTAAAGCAGATCTCCACTTATCTCATTCTGAGTGCTTGCACAAAGTATTTTTAAGTGAAAATATCCCTGAGGGATAAGTTTTAAGTCATTTAAAACCTAAATGGATTTTCGCCCTCTTGTGTGTTGCAATGGCCCTACCCCTCACACCACCTTTGTCTGTACAGCGTCAGGCTCTGAATAACATGTGAAAAACAGAGAGTAAGGCAGTCTCTTTCTCAAAGATCGCAAACAACATTGGTTGGCTGTCATTTTGATCTCTTGTGGTTCTCATGGTTGAAATTCCTTTTTGTTCCAGTTCTGCCATCAAGAGAACCATTTGGACCTAATCTTGCAATAGGTTTTGCTTGATAGTCCTCACTTGCCAACCTGCTATTAAAAACCTGCATTGGTCTTTATTTTTTAGGTTCAGTTTGGCTCTGAAAAACTTTGATTCCAGGATTGGATGCTAACACAGGAAGATACTGACAGATGACCACTTATTTACTGTAAAATAAACAAAAAAAAAACCCCTAAAAAATCAGTTCAGTTTTTTCATGTAGTCAGTATTTTGCAGCCACCTTAGTATTTCTTTCACATAGACAAAGCAAAACAAGAAACGCTTTACCATAAATCCTTTAATTATTCCTTTCCATTGATTACAAAGGTTACATGAATAAACAGCACTAGTCTCTACCTAAAGTTTATTTAAAAATTGCAATGTCTAAAGTGTAACTTGTAGAATTACTTTTTTAAAAAATCCATCAGTTATAAGCATTTTCTGGCTTTGGGCCAACAGTAGCATAAGTTTGCTTTTTTCTTTTTTACTAGTAATTTAAACAGATTTTTTGGTATGAGACCTGAAAATGTTGCCTTTTTAATTGAAAACTTATCAATTATTTAAATTGCCAGCAGCCTTAGGCTGTTAATTTTATGTGTGCCGTAACAATGGCGTGGGGCGGTTTTTGATGCATGTGATGCGTGGAATGTCGAGTTGTGGTAAAGACTTGTCAGGACAGTAGGCTGCTGAGTGCTGTTTAAATGGTAACCAACATATTAAATCTGTTGTCGCCCATCAGTACCATTTTACGTAAGTTACTTAGAAGTTGTATTTTCTTCATTAGATATATTTTTAAGAGATAATGAGAAAAAAACAAAGCCATAATAAATTGTCTTTAAGAAAATTTAACGTAATTTGGTCTCCAAGGAGATATTTAATGTATTGAGAGAATTCAGCAGCCAAGTGTTATTACCAGTGCAATAGCTCTCTGCATTTTGTTATGAGTTTGTGTTAATCAACAATCTGTTTTTATAGTGTAGTTCCTTGTAAGTTATGTTGTTAGAATATTCCACTTCTGGGATCATGGTGTTTGCTCTGACATTATTGAACCTTTTTTGATTCCTCTATAAAGTATTTTTTTAATTAGAATTTGAAATGCTTTATTAGGAGAAAAATAAACCCAAACTGCATATTCTGAACCCTGAATATGTGATTATTGCTAATTTTTTAAAGGACCCTGTTAAAAATTCCCTGAATGTAGTGTACATTTTTTTTGTTTTGTTTTCTCTGTCATTTTGTAGAAAGAGTAAAGATAGTATGCTGCTTTTCTCCTTCCATCTCTTTGCATCTGTTGTTTGGTAGTGCTGGTTGCCTTTCCTTACAGCATCAAACAGCAATGCTGGGCCCTATTTACTGGTTCATCTTAAGCTTTAGGTATCACTGAGGTCCAGTTATATACGGCGGGGGGGGGGGGTATTTTAACGTTAACCTTTGCTTTTGGGTGATCTTTCATTGAGAAACTCAGCAGTACGTCTTACATTTGTACATGGATGCATGTTTGTTTCTGCTCAGTCCTGTATCTAGTAAAGGATTACACCCGGTTCTCTCGATACTGAGGCGCTGGTATGAGTGTAGCACAGTAGTAACAAGAATAATTTTCTTCATTTTGCCCACTCTGTCTCCTTACATCATTTTTTCCCACATTGCCAGAAACATATGGGATGAGTTTAATTGTAATGCCTCTAGTTGTGGCTGAGCCCTTGTATTTTAGTAAAGTGTAAGTATTCCCTGTGGTACATTTGACCACAGTGCACCCTGTTGGATGTTGAGTACCATGAGGAAAAGTACTTTTTGACCTCTGTAGCACTTGGTAAATTGAGATATGATGAGCTTTATCCTACCTAGTATGCATAACTTGGAGATTGCAGAGTTGGAGGGGAGGACTAGAGGTCTTGTCCAACTGTTTCATTTTACCGAGAAGGAAACGGAGGCCCAGAGAGATCAGATTGAGTTGGAGGTCACTTTGGTGATGGAAGGTCTAGACACAGAGCCAGGTCTTTGGCTCCCAGCCTCTTCGCTCCTGGTGGTTTCAGGTGATGTTTTTGTTTTGGCATCTACTGAGGTAATATTATTAATATCATTGAATATAAAAAATACTCTGTGAGCTTCTAAAGTTTTTAAGATTTTCTCCTTACCTTTTAGGTCCAGTTTTACCCCAAAATTTCTTG